TTCTCCCTCAGTGGTTACAGGATCAAGGACAAGAGAGAAAGAAGAGGGAAATATTCAGGAAACATAGCAATCATGACTTCCAAGTATATGGGATTCCCAGTTGGAGCTAGTGGTAAAGAACGCGCCTGCTAATACAGGAGACATAAGAGACATAGGTTCAATCCCTGGGTCAGGAAGACCCCAGGAGGAGGGCATGGCAACCTGCTCAAGTATTCTTGCCTGGAGAATCCCATGGACAGAGGAGCCTGGCAGGCTGTAGTCCATAGGTTCTCAAAGAGTCAGATACAACTAAAGGGACTTGGCACACACAGAGGGAAACCTCTCCCCATTCTTGCATTCACCTGGATTACATCTGGGAGCCTTTATCATCTGAGTAAGTCTTACAAGTTAATGGATCCCCTGGTGACTCAGATGGTAAAGAATCTGCCTGCAGTGTGGGAGACCTGGGTTTGATCCCTGGGTCGGGAAGATCCCCTGAAGAAGGGAATGGCTACCCACTCCAGCATTCTTGCCTGGAGAATTCCATGGACAGAGGAGCCTGGTGGGCCACTTTCCATGGGGTGTCAAAGAGTTGGATATGACCGAGTGACTAAAGTTTCACTTTCAATGAATGGTCATCAGAAGGCTGAATGAGTTTCTTCTCCATAGTTTTGTCTAAGGTAGTGTTTCACCGAATATGGTTATGGGACCTTTTTAGAATCTACCTGGTGTATTAGGGCCAGTAAAGCTAGAAGCTGTAATAAACAGTTCCCAAGTCTCAGTGGCTTAACGGTGTGAAGATCTCGTCATTGCTCATTTCATAGTACAGGGGTCTTTAGCAACTTGTAAAGGATGGTCTTCCCGCCCAGTGGCTGAGGTTCTCTCCACCTAATCTCTGCAGTCATCCAGGGCCACAGAGTCCTCTGCCAGATGCTCTAGACGGCTGCAGATAACGAGACAGGGAAAGCCAGCTTAGAGAATTCAAGAGTGGCATTAAGGGACCTCCCTGGCCTCCAGTGGTTAGGACTCCATGCTTTCACTGCCACGGGCCGGGGTTCAACCCCTGGTCAGGGAATTAAGATCCCACAAGCCATGTGGTATGGCCAAAGCGGGAAAAAGTGGTTTTAGGGACCAGTGCTAGAAGGGATCTACATCATTTTGCTGACATTCTATTGGTTAAGACTCAATTACCCAGTCTCACACAGCTGTGGAAGAGGCTGGGAACTGTGGTTTAACTCTGTCCCAGAGGAAATGGAAACGATGTTGGTGATCTCATTGCATACCTAGAGTTGTTGTTTTTCAGAAGGTCTGGGGAGTCTCAGATCTGATGTATGTTTGGGGCAACTCAGACCTACTAAATCAGAATGTTAGGGGCCTAGGAATATGAAGTTTAAACAGATGATTTTTATCAGCACTAAAGCTGGAGCCCAGAGATGGCCACAAGGGCTCCAGCACAAACACGTTTTCTCCAAGGGCAGCCATGCCATTGATCTTCCCTTAGATCCCAGGCTGGGTACCCAGAGCATTTTTGCAAATTTTTCAGAAGCTGCAACAACTGTACTATAAGGACTCCCAGAACAGTTTGTCTTCAACACTCATATTCCAGTATCCCTTTAAAAATGTGGGTAAAGATGACATTTGCTGAGTTCCTTTCTCAGCACTTTTATCCTTACTCAGACAAAGAGGATAGTGCAGGGCTACAATGAACAGCAAAAATAGGAGCCAGTCCTCACAGCCCAAATCTATCTGCTTTAGGGACACTGTTGAGGTCAATGTTCATGGCATCATCATTTTATGGGGAAACATGGAAGAAATTCTCTCAGGCATCAGTAACTTAAATAGCTGGTTTTTGGTGAATCATAAGATTTATTGTGTTTCCTTTTTGTATTGACTGCTGGGAAATTGGGAGCCAAAACTTGAGACCACCTCTAGCAAGTATACAGAACTTAATCCCAAAAACATCTTATTTTTCCTGCTTTCAACCCAAATATTCCCATTTACTTATTTTCTTATCTTACTAAAATACACATATTTGTACATTCCACTTGATATCTATTTAGAATGAGCAGGTTGATTTTCAATGGTTGAATAGATCTTGTGACAGAAAAGTGAACAGAAATATTGGTTTTTTAGTTTTCTGACCATGTTTTAGCCCAAGGGAAATATTCCCCACAAATGATATGTATGAAGACTTAATAATCGGTGTAACTCAGTACAAACTGTTTCCTCAGAGACCTCAGAAAAAATCACTAATTGAAACCACATGTACCTTTCTAACAACTCTCTGCCCCAGTCATCATCTCTTTTCTTGAGATAGATTCACCATATTCTGTACCCAGAGATAGTACAGAACCGAATTACCATTCAAAAGTAGAACACTGGGTGGACAACTCTTGGCTTTGATAAATGTTGCTTTCTATCCAAACTCTCCCAAAATAATATTTAAATCCAATGGACAGAAAACTAGAAAAAAGTTCATGTACTTTTAAGACATCCTAAGACTATTGCTTAGGAAAAAGCTTCCCACATTCACTTTAATAAGTAACTTACGGAAGGGGATAAGAGAAAGGTGTCCAAGTATTAATTGAAATTTAGTAACTAAAATTTATTGAGCGCCTGTTTATATGCCAGGCACTACGCTTTAACAAGCAGTTCCCATTTTACATACATACACACACACACACACACACACACACACACACACGAAACAAGCTCACACTCTAGGCAGGAGGTAGTAAGAGGGTGCGATCACCTTTCTTTGAGCAGCCCCTAACAAGGGCCCTTGATCTGAGGGACTTGCCTCCAGAGGCCTGGCCGTTACCTTCAGCACCAAGGCCAGCGCACCTGGCTCTTCCGGAATCCCCCCTTTCCCCATTGCCGAATTCTCACGGCCCAGAACTGCAATAAAGAAATGCCCTTTCTCAATGAAACATGCCATCTTAACTCTTGAAATGAGCATCATAAGCTGCTGTTCATGGAGTAGTCACTGCTACCAGCAGAAAAGCTTTTGACAATGAGAAATGAAAATGGTCAATTTATTGGAGATCTACTCCTTCTGAACACAGGCGCGCGCATGTGCGCGCGCACACACACTCACACAAACGCTGTCAGATGGGCTGTATGTTGGTTAAATTCTCCTCCTGTCATTCCCAGGACCTCTTTTCATGTAGAAGCAGTTGAGGAAAGCAGTCTTGGCCTCCTGTCCCAACTAGGCGAGTCTTCTCTGCCGGGACAGGGAGGGGAGATGGGTGAGAAGCCCTCCGCCCCGCGCCCAGCACTTTATTATAATTTTCCGAGATTCGTGTTTGTGAGAGATTTTATCTTGGAGTTTGTGTATAGCTCTTGAATTTAAGGCTAACAAACGATAACAACCTACCATAAAGATTGTCCTTCCCAATTAAGTAATAAAAATCCTCAAAGGCAAACATCGCTCGTTGGTAATACTATTCCCATTTCACAGATAAAGAAGCTAAGCCCGAGATTAAGCTACTTGCCCAAGAGAACACAGTGAATAAGTGACAAAGGCCAACTAAAACGGTCAGATTTCCAGTCTTCCTTTCTGCTGGTCCTTCCTCAGCAAGATACATAGATACGTATCTGCCAATTGTCCCCAGGATCCAGGTTGAGCACCCCTCCCTCTGGCCCAATTATCTGAAAACCAAAAGAGTAGAAAATCGAAAATGAGATGGAGGTCGGCAGCGACGTGAGGCAGCGGATTGCTGCCGCTTCCTTGCCCCCTTTTTCAGAAGCTAAAATCGACTGTGCTCTTCCTCGGTGACAGCCCCTCGCCTGAGGCGCAGCTCCCGGCCTCGGCGGGGGTCCGAGCAATCTGGGCGCCTCCAGCTGCCCCTTCTCCAGAGTCGCCAGCCGTAGAGCGCAGGGCCAAGCTGGGGCGGAGCGAGGGTGCCCGGCGTGCCCCCGAAGCCAGTGCTGCTGCCGGAGCCGCCCTGGGCGCACTGCGCAGGGCGCTGCTCGCTTGTGCTACTCGGCGCGCTGTTCCTCCCGGAGCGCAGCCGGCGCTGAGGAGGCCTGTGGGCAGCCGGGGAGCCTCCGGCTGCGCCCCAGGCCCAGAGTCTGGACTGTGTGGAGCGCGGAGCCCCGGCTTCCCCAGGCCAGCTCCCTTCTGTGTTAGCGCTCAGTGCCAGGCAGAAGCGCGGGTCTCTCTCCACCCCTCCCCAAAGCGCACCGGGCCAGCTTCCATCTGATTAGAATGTTTCGCCCATCTGATTAGAATGACAGTAGCGTTCAAGTCATTCATTATAAGAATTTTAGTCTTAAAAGAAAAAGAGGGTCCCACTGTAATTGTGAGTTGTAATAAATGCGAACTTCTGGTGCCGTCCTCTGCAGTACGTAAGACAGTAAAAAATGTGTCTCATGCAAACGCGCCCTCTCCCCAAGCCCATTGTGAAGTCAATCTCTAACAAAGGGGACGTGTGAATATTCAACACCGAGGCTTTCAGCCGTATTTTCCGGAATCACTGAGTCGGCTTTTTTTTTTTTAAAATCAGCGAATACCTGTTTAAGTTTTAAAAGCACATGGAAATCGCCCGCGAGCGACCATATAATTTGATTTGCCAGGCAATCTGCAGAGCGATCGCACATCATTTATAATGTTCATTGAGCATTTTGCCTAATTGTGTCTGTCTCTGAAAGGGCGGCGCACCCCCTCCCGACCGCGAGCGGCACAAGTGGCGACATTCCCATGGAGCGGCCGCGCCGCAGCTTGTCGCTTTCAGCGCGGGCGGCCTGGCCGCGCGCTTCCCCGCCCGGCGCCCGGGCGCGCCTGACACTAATCGCTCGCGGCTCAGGTAGGAGCGGGCGCCGCGTTTGACTCCATTCAATTCACAACCGGCAGCGCTTGCAGGTGTCGCCTTTTGAAACTGCCATTCAGGCGGCCGCTGTTCACTTCTCGCTGCGCCGCGGGTTTTGTGGAAGCGCAAGAATGGCGCTGATTATTCCCGTGCCCACGGGCTGCCCCCACCCCCGCCGGACGCGAGCCTTCCCTCCGCCAAAAGAGACGTTTAATTAGTTCTGGGGCCGCCGACAGCCAGCGCGGCCCACAAAGCCCGGCTCCCCAGGTAACCCCGGGGTTTCTGCGGCCCCGGGAGGGGGCGCCCCGCGCCTGAGCACTGGCCTCTGGCCGTGCGCTCCCTCCCGCGCCGCCGCCGTCCGCCCACCTGCCCTCCGGGCCGGCTCTCCAGCTGGCCGAAAGCTCGCTCGCCGGACTTGAGTGACCTTGGCCAGCGGCGCCCGCGGATCCCGGACGCGAGCAGTTTTCGGGCGCCTGCGATGTCTTCCCGCCTCTCTCTCCCCATTGCCAGCCGGGGAGATGGAAACTTGGTTGGCAAGACAGGTGGTCCTAACTGTCTTGCGAGGGGGTGTCCTCTCCAAGACATGTCATTCCGTCACCCCATTTCGGGGAAATATCGGCAAGATGTTTTGAGGAAACACTAGAGACACTTTCCCTTTTATCCCCCTTTGCGTCTCAGCGCCGCGTGCGCTAAAAGGGCGCAAAGTTGCCCTGGGAGTTGGCGAATGGCTGCCTCGCCACCACGGCCAGTGACACTCCCTTCGCAACAGCGGCTCCGGCGCCCGAGCTGGCCCCGAACACGCAGGTCTGCGGACAGCCTCGGCCTGGGTCGCATACTCTGGGTCACCGGAGCCACAGGTACCACCAAAGGGATCGCGCCCCTGGGAGCCCGGCCTCTGGCTGAGGGCCGCGCATGCCGGCAGGGGCGGAGGACGGAGGGAGGCCCAGTCCAGGCGGGCATCCGGTACCTTTCGAGGGGGGAGTGGGCGTCGGCCGCGAGGCGGGGGCGGCTCCCGCCTCACATTTGGTTTCCGCGAGCGTCCGAAGACGCCAGCACCCATTCGTTCCACTCACTGCGCCCTGTGAACGAGCGCGGGGCGGGCGGGGGAGGCCGGGCCCGGGGAGGGCGGGTGGTCTCCCTCCCCCGCCCGCCCTGCCGCTCGAGCCGCGGCACAAGTGTTGCGATTCCCACGGGCCGGCGGGCTCTGCGGCTGGAGGCCCGGGCACCCGGGGCCCGGGAGATGGGGCGGACACAGAGGGGTTTGTAGACACGCTGACCTCCGCGCTCCCGCTCTGAAAGGGCCTGAAAGGAGCCGTTTATGGTACATTACCAGTCAAGGGCTCAGGTACCAGCGCCTTGTGTCGGGAAGCCTCGGCGGCCGCCCGTGCTGCAGGTGTCCACTATACAAACGCCCGGGAGGAGGCAGGACGCCGGGGAGGGCCGGGGAGGGGCGCCAGGCCGCGCCGCGCCAGCCGCTGCGCAATTTCGCTCTTTCTCTTCTGCGGCGAGAGCAGCCGGCCTGGGGCGCAGACCCGGGTCCTGGGGGTTGGGGGTGGTAGAGAAAGCAGCCGGGGTGGGGGGTCGGGCAGAGCCTACAGCCCGTTATTTATGGGCTGCGTTTGATGGAGAGGGGAGTCGGGGGAGGCGCGGAGCCTCTGCCCAGCCCCGACCCAGTTTCAAGGCTGAGGGCACAGGGAGGTCACCGGAGACTGGAACTCCCCAGTGGAGGCCGGCGCTGGGCCCGGCAAGGAAGAGGCATGTTGCCGGCCTGTTGGGCCTGCCCGGATTTAATTCGAACTTTCCCCATTTCGGTCCATCGTCTCCCTGTCTATCTTCCTGTGCACAGAGGGGCCTGAGGCCTCTCCCCAGCGCCAGAGTCACTTCCGACCCAAGGAAGACCTTACCTTCAGTAGGTAACCTCGTGGGGCCCTCTGCCCCCTCAAGACCCGGCAAGCTGAGAACTGGCTTCTATAAAGGAACACCTGGAAATGCTTTTTCCCTTGGGGAGGAGATTGTTAATGGAGTTTACTACCTAAGTCGGTCCTTAAGCCTTCACGGGGCCAAAATTCTAATAAAGAAAAACAGTACCGCAAGACAACCCAAACACCACTGCCAGGATATTAAGCAAGGCGATTAAAAAAAAAAAAAAGATTCAACGATTTTCAGGGCCAACTAGAAAAAGAGAATAAGCAGACAGAAATCTTAGGTGTGTCTGTAGGAAGCCTCCAGATACTCCCAAAAGTTTCAGGGGTTGTCTGCCTTGCTTCATTATCTAATACTATCTGGAAACTTCTTCCTTCTGCAGCTCCATCATCATCATCATTATTTTTACATGTCACCTCTGATTAAAATTAACCTCTGAGTATGACTGAGGGCTTTTTTCTTAAAGTAACAGAGAAACTGGACAAGGAATGGTGGAGCGGGTGAAGAAGGGTGTGTGTCTGAAAAGAATGGTTTGAGAGAATGAAGGGGAAGGGATAGATTCCTTACAAGGTGAAAGAAAGCCTTTCCTATCTGAAAAACAAACAAAAAATTACCACTGTTCTATCATCACAATCACAACTAAACTTCTTGAATAAGATATCCAAAGGAGGAGGTTTCTATTCCCTCACCTTTATTTGGTCCTCAGCACACTGCATTCTGGCCCACACTTATTCTGGAACTCTCACTCATTTAGTCATTTTCACCAGGAACTTCCATGGCCCCCAATTTAAGGACACTTATTGACCTCGTCATACCTAAAACTGCAGTAAACAGGCCCACATTCATGCTGATACCAACAGCAGAATTCTCAGTACCATCTTTTGTTTCTCTGTCTCCTCCAAGCCCACAGTCAGTGACACCAGGTCCTAAAATTCTCTTTGCAAACCATTTCTCCAATCTGCTCAACCACCTAGTTCAAGTCTTCATAATCACTCAGCTGTTCTTCTGCAGCTTTCTGATCAGACTCTCTGCCTTTAATCTTGCTTTGCTCCAATCTATTTTCCAATCCTGCAGCTTCTGTATCCTTTCTAAGTGGCAGACTTGATCATGCTACCTCTGGCTTCAAACCCTTCCCTGATTTATTACATATAAATTATAAACATGTGCTACTGTACTAATTGATTACATACATCATAAAGAATCAGACCGACAGATTTTAAAAGAATGAGATACTGCTTCCCTGGTGGTCCAGTGGTTAAGAATCTGTCTTGCAATGCAGGAGACACAGGTTAGATCCCTGGTCTGGGAAGATCCCACATGCCTCAGAACAACTAAGCCCATGTCCCACAACCACTGAAGCCCATGAGCTCCAGAGCCTGGGCACCACAACAAGAGAAGTCGCCACAGTGAGAAGCTGCACACTGCAACTAGAGAGTTAGCCCCCTCTTGCTGCAACTAGAGGAAACCCTGCTCAGCAAGGAGGACCCAGTGCAGCCAATAAATAAATAATAAAATATAATACATATATATGTAAGAATGAGATAAAAATACAGATGACGTTCAGATATTTTCTTCCAAAACCCTTAACACAGCCTAGAAACTTTCTTCATCTAGACCCTGCCTACAATCCCATTCTCATATCTTTCTTTACTTGATCCTTAACAAAGTTCTTTTATATTTCCGAATGCCATGATAATCATTCTCTGTCTTTGCTTTGTGTTTATTTCAACCTCTGCTCTCTGTTTCCTCTAGTCTGTAAGCTCCATGAAAAAAGGATCTCTTCTATTTATTGTTCTGTGACTAGGGCTTATCACAGTTCTCAGCACAGAATTGGTCTTCAATGTTTGTTCTGTAAATAAACATGGTACTTCTTGGAAGAAGCCATGTTTCCTATAAAGAGATGGGAAAGCAGAGAAAACTGATCCATAGAAAAAGAAAAAAATGAAGCAGGGACACAGAGGGGAACATAAAGAAGCACAAAGAAGATGGAGAGAATGTCCCAGCATCTTTCCAGATCATGGTGTATTAACTAGGATACAAGTTAGACTGCTCTATAAAAGAATTGAAATATAGTGGTTTAAATTAGGTAATTTATTTCCCCCTCAACAAAACTAAAACAAAACTGAATAGGTATTCCAGGCTTCACGTGGGATCTAAATGATGTAGGAGACTCAGACTCCTTTAGCTAGTTACTTTTCCATCCTAAATATGTAGCTTTCAACTAATGGTTCAAAATGGCTGCTCCAACTCCTGATATTGTATTGGCATTTCAACCAATAGGAAGAGAGAAAGTAGCAAAGTGGGGCATGTCCTTCCTCATCAAAGAGCCTCAAAGGTGAATATCACTTAGACCCCAAAGCCAGTTTCATCACTACACTGAGCTGCAAGAACGACTAGAAAATGTGATTTTTATTCTGAGTGCCCATGTGCCCAGCTAAAATTATAGGTTTCTATTCATATTGATATGGAGGAGAATTTTCAGTCTCTGAGACTCCTGGTACTACTGAAGCCTAGCTACATTCCTGTTCATGGATTCTAGGACATACCCTGAATCCCATATGAGCTCCCTTTTAATGTTTGTTAGTTCATGTTGATTTCCATTACCTGAAACCAAGAGATCTAAAACTGACGCAGGTACATCAGATAAGCCAATTTATGCTGGAGTAGCCACCCCCCAAATCTCAGTGGCCTCACAAAACAGAAGTTTATTTCTAGTCCAGGCTCCCTGTTCTACTTGAGGTTGCAGGGGTACCCTGTTCATCGTTAGTCATTTAAGGTCCCAGGATGACAGATGTTCAGCCTTAAGCTGTGTTTCTGCCATCCTTACGGAAAAGAGAAGCAACAGAGCCAAATAGTACACAGGCTCTTAAAGCTTCTTCCTGGGGGTTTCCCTGGTGGAAAATATTAGAACTGTCATCTGTATTTTTATCTCATTCTTACATATGTATATATAAAATATTTTTATTTACATATATTTACATTTTATTATTTATTTATTGGCTATGCTAGGTTCTCGTTGCCCTCATGCAGCAACAAAAAACCAGCACAGCCAAAAATAAATAAATCTTAAAAAAAAAAGCTTCCTCCTAGTCTGCCCCTTCCCAGAATCAGCCATTTCTCTACAGATCTCTGGAAACTGTAAGTGGAGAATGATTTCTAGAAATCAAGATCTAAGAACAAAATGTGTTCACTGCTACAAGGGCCCTTTTAGCAGACAGAGCTAGGAGAAAACAAAAAGAATGTACGTATAAATATACAAATACTTCTATGTTTATATCTATATTCACATGTCTCTATCTACACCTTCTAGTCTTTCTCCTTTCCACATTTACAACTTCTTCTCTAACAATGAAAAACCCAGTTCTCATTATTCTCAATATATTTACTCATTTATTCACTCCTAGATCACACAGAAAGTTGTTTTAAAATTGCTAACCTATACCACTGTGAAAATCAGACCTACTAAAGCAGTTTAAAATTTATTTATAGTTCTTTTTGCCCTGGGTCTGAATATAATGTGTTCAAAATTTACGTGGATCACTACTAATAGAAGTGAAAGTCACTCTGTCATGTCTGACTCTGTGACCCCATGGACTATACAGTCCATAGAATTCTCCAGGCCAGAATACTGGAGTGGGTAGCCACTCCCTTCTCCAGGGGACCTTCCCAACCCAGGGATCAAATCCAGGTCTTCCACATTGCAGGTGGATTCTTTACCAGATGAGTTGCCAGGGAAGCCCAAATATTATCACTACCAATAATATTTTTTTAAGTACCAGGGAAATTACAACAATAAAATTTCACGATTGAACATGAAGGAAAAGAAAAGCTTCCTCCTGAAAGTGACATGGCATTTTCACTCATCTTTTACTAACCCAAGCAAATTACATGGCCACATCTCATCTCAAAGAAGAGAGGGAAATACAAGCTTATGACCCACCTGGAAGAAGACACAGACCTGTGGCTTGTCTGCCCAGCTCCCATGGACAGAGGGGACATCCTACGATGGAAGGGGATGTCCTATTCTGGAGGGGATGTCTTACAATGGAAGCTTTTTGGATTAATTCTTACTGTAAAGCACCCAGAAAGCATAATGTCATCTTTCCACACCTTCCCTTCTTCTCTGCTCACACCTGC